CAGGGGCAGAGGGAATGGGCATAGCAGAGGGGGCAGGAGGGTGGGAGGCAGGAGCAGGGACAGCAGCCAAGTGTGCCATCATTTCCTGGATGATGGCACACAAGTTGTTGCCCTGCCACACAAGCTGGTCCCACATGTGGTTCTGCCACTCGGCGTCCTCCCAGACCTTCTGGGCCAGGGTTTGCTGCATGTCATGCAGGACACCCACGTGCTGTCTCATGAGGTCCTCCTGGACCTCTGTGCTCTTGCAGCTTCCCTGAGGTTAGACGGTTACCTCTGGGCCAGAGGATGGGGAGGTCCCAGCAGCAAGGCCTGCACAGTGGGCCCTGCCTCACAGGGGACCTGAGGTGCCCAGGGGACCATGTTTCATGGACAAGCAGGCAAGGAAAGTGTCCAGCCACAGTGAGATCCCATGAGCGGGAGAGAGGCCTGGAGCAGCCTGGCCTTTCATAGGACCCACACACACACACCTGCACCTGGCAGCAATGTCTGCAGGAGCAGGTGGGGCCTTGCACATGCAGGCATGGCCGTGTGCTGTGTGTGGCACTCCTTGATCTGTACTGGATCGTGTGTGTGCCATTGTCCCCAGCCTGCTTCTAGCATTGGTGGGTAGTGGGAGGGAGTCCACCTCAGGGGTCAGATGTGTGTGGAGCTTCCCCTGAGCCTGTGAACAGAGCCCAGGGATGCTCTGTGGCTGCCTCCTGAGGCCATGTGGCCTCCCCCTCCCTGTGTGTGTGAGAAACTGAGAGCACTCACCTGATGATCGCTCCCCACCATCAGAGGATGCCTGGGAGATCTCCAGGGCCTGGGCGTACCAACTCCAGGGTTAAAGTGACTGTGCTGTCTGTGTCCTCCTCCTCCTGCAGCTGCTGTTCTTCCTCCTCTTTGGCAGGGAACTCTGGGTGAGCGACGACAGGTGTCTCAAGCCCCGAGTCTACCACCATGGGTGGGGAAAGGGCTTCAGCACCTCCCAGGAATTGGTGGAGCTCCTGAAAGTAGGGGCAGGAGTAGGGTTCTGCCCTGGAGTAAGAGCTGTGCTCCCTCACCCTGGCGCAGGCCTGTCACTTTGCTCTAGACCTGTTCTAATGTTGAGGGGAGGAGGGATATTCCCTCTCAGCAAGAGCCTGGGCCATCTGCCCATAGATGTTGGCATTTCTTTGCCGGGAGTGGAGATCCTGCAGGTTCTCCTCCTCTTTCCACAGCTCAAGGAGGGCCAGGATATCTGCTCTGGACCAGGAGGGCACACATTGTTTGCTGCCCCTGTCTGGGTCTTGGGAGCCCTGGTGTTCCTCCCTGTAAGGGCCAGGAGCATTTTGGGGGGCCATGGGTCCAAAAGTGGGTGGCAGTCAGAGGTCTATGGTGAGGTGCAGCTCCCAGCGCTGGCTTTCTGCCACAAGGCTTGTCCCAGGTGCCTGCAGCTTTAAAAGCTGGCAGGAGATAGGAACTATAGACGGAGTTTGGACGGAGTGGCCCCCAGGGCATGTGTGTTATTTCCTGGAGGCCTCGTCTTTCTAAAAATCACCCTCTTCCACGCCCACACACACCTTTTTCAACACACACCTTTCCTCATAGAAAGAGGTTTATTGCTGTCAGAAAAACCGCTTCATTCTTCCAACTTTCCATTGAAAGAATGCAATAGCAGTGTGGATATAAGTATTGTTTTTCCAGAAAAATGGCTGTTTTTCCGGAGAAACCCTGCAGTGTAGACATATCCTAAGAGTGTGTCTACACAGCAAAATTATTTTGGAATAAAGTTTATTAGAGGGACAGAACCCTTGTGATATCAGAATGGGTTACTATCATAGAATACTAGGACGGGAAGGGACCTTGAGAGGTCATCGAGTCCAGTCCCCGGCCTTCACGGCAGGACCAAATACTGTCTAAACCATCCCTGATCTGGCATCCTTCCCTAGTAGGAAAGGCCCTTTCTACAAGTTTGAATGTAATGATATTCCTTCAGTTTTTCACTTGATGCTGCTGCAAACAGTTGAACTGAGGATTTACTTGGAGCAGTGACTTTATTAAAAAACAGCACTTGCTTATTCAGGAGTTCCTCAGGCCAGATTTCCTATTCCATGGATATTGTCCAGTCACGTTAGTGGAAAATAAAGACATGTCTAGACTTGTGGGAAGATTGATGCTCCGGCAGTCGATCTTTCATCATTCAATTTAGTGGGTCTAGTAAAGACCAGCTAAATCGAATGCTGAGGGTGCCCCCATTGGTACTGATACTCCCTGCTGTTGCAAGGAGTAAGGAAAGTCAACAGGAGTGTTTCTCCCCATTATTTATGTAGCTGGAACTGTGTATCTTAAGCCGATCTTCCCCTGTAGTGTGGACCTGATCTGATAGTGAATGCTACCAAATTAGACTAGAAGCCTAATTCATAACCCCGTTTGCATGGTTGTAAAGGAACTCACAAGTTGCAGAGCAGTGCAGCATCATAAAAATATAAGGCTGAAAGGACCTCAAAAGATCATTTGATGCAGCTCCCTCCAGGACTAAATTCACCTGAACCATCCCTGACAGGTGTTTGTCCAACCTGTTCTTGAAAACTTCCAATGACAGGGTTCCACAGCCTCCCTTGGAAGCTTAAATACCCTTAGAATTAGAAAGTATTTCCTCATATTTAACCCAAATCTCCCTTGCTGCAGACTAAAATGATTACTTCTTCCTGACCTTCTGTAGACATCAAGTCCCTTATCCATATTTAAAATCAGATCTGCTGACTTTGGAAGCCAAAATAAGTTCTTAGGCACTGTTTAAAGTTTCCAGGTGCCCAACTGGGCCTTCATGTTTGCAGTCTTGTTAACCAAGCCACCAGTGCTGAAAGTCACCAGAAGGCGCTATTCCATTGGCTGCATCATAAACAGAATTGTTTGCCAAGTTGCTCCTGTGCAAGCCAGTTGAAGACAATGGAATTTCACAGGGGTTACCGGAGGTATTATTAAAAGACAGTGCAGTTGCATAAGTTGGACTAGCCAGCTGGGTTATTATTAGCATGACAGGAGGAAGCAACAATCCACTTTGAATTTCAGTTCCGAGACTAATTCTACAGGGGCCAGCATTTAAAACAGTCAGAGGTTAAATATTTGTGAGTAGAGAACACTTGCTGAAGACATTATGGCTACGTCTACACTGGCCCCTTTTCCGGAAGGGGCATGTAAATTTCATGAGTCGTAGTAGGGAAATGCGCGGGGGATTTAAATATCCCCCGCGGCATTTAAATAAAAATGTCCGCCGCTTTTTTCCGGCTTTTAAAAAAGCCGGAAAAGAGCGTCTACACTGGCCCCGATCCTCCGGAAAAAGCGCCCTTTTCCGGAGGCTCTTATTCCTACTTCGCTTTTTCCGGAGGATCGGGGCCAGTGTAGACGCTCTTTTCCGGCTTTTTTAAAAGCCGGAAAAAAGCGGCGGACATTTTTATTTAAATGCCGCGGGGGATATTTAAATCCCCCGCGGATTTCCCTACTACGATAGGTGAAATTAACATGCCCCTTCCGGAAAAGGGGCCAGTGTAGACGAACCCATAATTTATAGTGCAGTTTAAGTTTAAGGGAGAAAAATGTAGTGTATGTTTAAAGAGAAACTGACTAGCAATACCAGACGGTGAAAATACAATCAAACATTCTTTTCAGTGGCACTATTTAACTGTTCCGTCAAGAGACCAAAGAATAATCATGGGTATAGTTGGTGGAACATCCTCTTATCAGTGTTGTTGATTCTCTGGAGCAGTTATATGTCCAGGATTTGTGCTGAAAAATGTAGCTGAATGGCCAGATTTAAAAAAATTATCTAGTGGCCTCAAGTTTCAGAGAGGCATTTTCAAAAACTCTTAGGCACTTCTTCTTTCTTTTCTATTGACTTTCAATGGTTTCTAACGGCCTAAGCCACTTTTGAAACTTGGACTCAGCTAAGTCACTCCTCAAAGGTATTTAGCTGCCTTACTCCTAATTTATTTCAGTGGAATTAGGTACTTAAATATCTTGGGGATGTGGACTGTAGGGAGCAATGCCTAAAAATCTACTCCAAAATGTAAGTTCATACAGGGGAATGTATGGCAGAGCTCAATCTCCTGAGACTCTAGTTCAGAAGCTTACAGATAAGGGTCCCTACTTTATGAGCTGTGCAAGCTTCCCCAAAGTGCTCTGCCTATGTTCCTGCTCACCTGTGTAGCATCTCAACAGGCAGAATCAAACCTGGGACTCTGGAACTCAGCGCATAAGCTTCTTGAGCTAAAAGCTAGCTGCTTCTCAGCTAAGACTATAGAGCACACATTATTTGCTCTGTAAATGGTCTCACAACCACTAGATGGGACTGTACACCACACTAGAAGGGGAGTGTGTGTGTGGGTGGGGTATAATTGCAGGCCTCCTCTTTGCCTGAGCAGACTTCAAGCTGCTCTTCATTGTGCAATGCTTTTGTGAACTGGAAAATGGCTTACAAACTCTGCTCTTGTTGATGACTGCTTGGGGCTTTGACTCTAAATTTGCAGAAGTGATTGACTTGCTTTCCTTGAATCACCAGTTATTGCAGAATAGTGATAGAAATGTAGCCGTTTTAGTCTGGTATAGCTGAAGCAAAATACATAGTCCTGTATTTTGCTTCAGTTATTGCACTGTGAACAAACGGCAGAAAGCTTCAGTCGGCAAACTTCTCACAACTAGAAGTACTTCTTAGCACAAAGAGGTGAAGTTATTAGTTATTTATTTCTTGGCAATGTTGGCAGACCATTAAAGCATAATTTGAGGTTTCCTAGGCATGACAGCTCAGGCCTGTATGCAGGGGGAGGGTAAAGGGTGCAACTCCCCCCCTATGGTTCCCCAAATAAACATGCTCTAGCCAGCCAAGGAAATCAGGAATGGCAGGCTGCCTAAGCCTCCCTCCCCTATGCTCTAGCCAGCCCGGGGAAGGCTAGGACTGATTCCCTCCCTGCCCAGAAGAGGGGAGGTCTTGTTCCTGGGCAAGGGGAGGAAAATCTGCCTCAGCCTTCCCTCTGGTGCAACTCCCCCCCTATGGTTCCCCAAATAAACATGCTCTAGCCAGCCAAGGAAATCAGGAATGGCAGGCTGCCTAAGCCTCCCTCCCCTATGCTCTAGCCAGCCCGGGGAAGGCTAGGACTGATTCCCTCCCTGCCCAGAAGAGGGGAGGTCTTGTTCCTGGGCAAGGGGAGGAAAATCTGCCTCAGCCTTCCCTCTGTGCCAGAGTCTGCTGCATGTCATGCAGGACACTGACATACTGCCACATCAGGTCTTCATGGACCTTGGTGCGCTTTCGGGTCCCCTGGGTCTGGTGGCTTGCTCGGGTGGTATGGCTTGCCCCGCAGTTCTGACTGGTCTGGCTGGAGAGAATGCAAAGACAGAGATGTGATCAGTCATCCATGTGGATACTGTCCCTGAGGCCATGCCCTCCTCTGTGAGCAGTGACCAACAATCTTTGGGCTGTAAGGGAAGGAAAAGTCCTGGGAACAAGGCCATGTGTGGCCTACACAGTGGGCCCTGCCTCACAGGGGACCTGAGGTGCCCAGGGGACCATGTTTCCTCTTCTGACCGCCCTCCCCCACGTACCACAAACAAGCAGGCAAGGGAAGTGTCCAGCCACATTGGGATCTAATGGTCGGGAGAGGGGCCTGGAGCTGCCCATTACACAGCAAACTCTCATGTGAGAACATTCCAGGCTCTGCCAGTATTAGGATACTGTCTCTCAGTTTGAAACCATTGCAGATCATTTTTCATGGAGAAAAAAATAACCCTGAAAACGTACCGCTTTTTCTGTTTTTATGAAACTTGAGCCTTCACATCTAACACACATGAGAGAACATCAACCATCAAGTAGGGCAAAGATGAGAATATCAGATCTATGGCATAATAGAATTAAGAGCTAGTGAGTTTAGCGTTTCTAGTAAGGCAAATATATTTGTTAGAAAAGGGAAAGTAAATTGTAATAAAAAAAATACAGAGGCATTACAATACAGAGCAAGTGAAACTTGAGCCTTCACATCTAACACACATGAGAGAACATCAACCATCAAGTAGGGCAAAGATGAGAATATCAGATCTATGGCATAATAGAATTAAGAGCTAGTGAGTTTAGCGTTTCTAGTAAGGCAAATATATTTGTTAGAAAAGGGAAAGTAAATTGTAATAAAAAAAATACAGAGGCATTACAATACAGAGCAAGACTGTGAGCAATGCAGTAGAGTAGCCTGTTTCCAGTAATGGCCAGTACCCAAAAATGTGGTTTCAAAATGGCAGTAATGGATTACTCGACTACCAGAGACCTGAAGCCCAGACTTACTTTGCCAGGACAGACTTTGGTGGGGGAAGAGGGACTCTGGTCTGCCAGAGAGAGGCTATGGCATCACAAGCCACGTGGAACCTTCCATCCATCCCCTTGAAATGCCCTGGGGAGAGTGGAGAACATGATTACAATCTTCAAACATGTGAGGTGATGCTGTAAAGAGGATGGTGATAATGCATTCTTCATGCAGGAGGATGAACATTTGGAGTCCCTTCTAGCCCTACATTTCTATGATTCTCTGATTCACCAATTGAGTGGTAAGAAGCTATGTTTTTCCCAAACATACTGGCCATGCAAAGGGGCTGACTAGAATGGAAACATCCTATAAAGCACTCGTGGGAATTACTGCCCCTTCCCACAGGCAGAATCATCGCAATATCCCTTGCCTTCCTCTTTCTGCATCTTTGGAAAATGTCCACTGCATTTCCATGATAGCATGATACAGTTTTAGAGGTGCTGAATTCTAGCAGCTCCCCTGAATCTCCTCCAGAAATATGGATGCTCATCCCAGACCAGCCCCCTTTTTTAGCCCCCCCCAGAACAGCAGCAGCAGAGGTTATGCAAAATAAATATTTATTTTACAAATGCAGGGTTCCTTGTTTCCCCCTGCAGCTCTGAGTTAGTTACTTAGTATAAGCAAGAGTGGCAGATTTTCTGCTTTGGAAAGGTCACAGGGTATGTCTACACTAC